TGGTGGTTCGATCCAGATACGCTGAGAAGAGGGTTTTGGCGAAATACCAGAAGCTAATTTAAAGGCTATTCGAGCAATTGATCAATTGCTAGTTATCTGAAATAAATAAAAATTCAATTCAATTAAATTTACATAAACTACATCCATTTAAAACAATAATTTTTCACCTAGAACATTTATTTACCTCAGTAGCATTTTCACTGCCTCAGTAGTTGTCTCAGTTTAGAAAATTGTAATAAAAAATCTATTGACGTTTCAAACGGTATCCAATGAATATGTTTCTACCTATAACATGAAAGAATGCTTCAAATGAATAAGAGCTGAGCTTTAAGTTTCACATTTATTTCAAATAAAAAAAAGTTTTTAAATAAGATTTTACGTTACAGAAATAAATCTCCAGAAATGATTGTGAGTTACGATTTTTTCCACAGAAACTCTAACTGTAAATAGAACTACCAAACAGAACTATTTTTTACTGCTTTTGAACTGTTGAATTGCAATTAAGAGAATCGTCACCTATCGTTCCATTTATGAAAATTGCCCTTTCCTACATTCTCATGCCTGCAACTTCCTCAGAAACGTCAAAAAAATGCTTTCGCTGATCATTTGACTAACGTCATCTCTTGAATCTCTCAATGTCAAAATTCAGCAATGTCAAATTTGATCCGGTAAAATAAACGTTAACTTCGACTTGGTTCAGCGGAAGCATTTATCAGTTCATTCTTCATCGCACAGCGACGGTATTCAGTCATCTCTTCAAGTGTCTTCACATCAGTCATCTCTTAGAGTCTTTTTCTATTCAATAAAACAGTTTATTTGCTGTTTGGTGTCTTCTGAGTTCAACTCATTTTTCGCTTAAATTTCGATCCAAATTATCCTTTGTTTACTTTTCAATTATTGAGCGAGTGTTCATTATTGGTAAAAGCAATTTATTATTCTGTGCCGCACAGCTATTCGTTGTCAAGGTTAATGTAAGTACATTTTCAACATTTTTTTTTGATTTGGTCCGTGGGAATATTAAGAGCGTGAAAATCTCAATTGCTCACAGCTGGAATCAAATTTTAAGCCATAAATCTAAAGAAAAAAACATCACAAAATTATGCCACAAATCACATCACAGGTATAATCTCCTAGAAGAGCCACACTTTTTCTTGAGTTCAGATGTCCAATCTCAATTTCTCTTCTAAATTTCCGGTTTTCCTCCCTTATTTATCGAATTATTCTACCATTTTCATTCGGATCACTTTTGAATCATTGAATTGTTGGCACTACATAAAATGTACATAAAGCTAATTTGTTTTCATTATTCCATTGTTTCAATACTAAATCAAAATCACTCCTTTTACACAATTCAATTGGAACGGCTTTGATTGGATCTGTTTTGACTTCCACTTTTTTTTATTTAATTGGATTTGACTTCACACGGAGATTCCACTTCATTGCAATCACAATTAGCGTAATGAAGAGAGAGAAAAATGCGACAGATTAGATGAATTGTATCGATGATTCGATTTTTCCCACTAAGAACCGCATTTGTTAATTTAAGCAACATTTTTCCACGAACTCATTAGTTGCTAACATATAAATTAGCCCGAATCCTTATGTTTTTCCGTCAAGTAGACGGAATGAGATAATTTTCACTTCTATCTATCCATACGTAGTTAAAATCACTAATTGTAATTGCACGTTAGGAACACAATATCAAAATTCACATCAAATCATGATCATCGAACTGCAATTTCCAATTGAATAAACATAGTCTACACAAAAGTAAATTTCGTCAACTAATTCCACCGAAATTGTTCAATGCACTTGGTATGACACTCTTCGATATGAAAAAAACATCGGATTTGCATTGGCTACAAATTGTGCCAACTAAAAGAAAATCTGCTCGGTAAATTCGCCTTTGATACAATTTCATTCTAATGAATCTGAATTTCACATCAATTTCAATCATTTCATTCCAATTTTGACACAAAACACGGAACAAAGAACAATAACCCGTTTATCAAAAACAAAAAACCATAGATCGTTTATCAAAATCAAATTACAATAGCGATTGTTCTATGACTGTGATTTTTTTCATTCAAATACAAATTTCGCACACACAAACCGTGAATGGCATCGATTCAATCGTACGCAGAATACAGTTAATGCACAAACTGTTGTTTTGTCAACATAATCGTGTTTGACAGTTTTTTGTTCTCCATTTGTGCAGCGCTGTCAAAGTGACAGAAAGACATTAATTGAGTTACAATCCGATACAATGGAACTGATTGTGTTGAGCACAATGTGGTTTTCAGTGCTTCGAAGGAAAAATGTGAAGAAAAAAAATCCATAAAGTTTCATTTGTGTGAGATACACAACCTACACAAATTGAAGTTTATTTCCACGTTGATCGCAACGAAACGTATATTCAAAAGACAATGGGGGAGATATTTAGAATCCAAAATGAAAGAGAACAAAAGAAAGGTTATTCATGATTCATTGTGCACAATTTCCATAGTTCAACCTCTTGTGGAAAGCAAAAATCGTCAACGCATAATTCATCAGCGCAAAAATCGTCATCAATTCGATTGTGGAAATTGTCGCCGGCAAAATGGTTCGGAAAGTAATCCGCAAAAAGCATCCCAGCTTGATAACACCGAGTAAGTAAATGTGGTGAAAAAAAACCAATTGTTCCAATTCAATTCCACGTGCATTCTCACTCACGTCCACTTTTTTGAGGTTAGAAACGCGATTCTGGAAGAAAATTCAAGGCGATTTGACGGACGATCAGATGCTACGGTTGGTGAATTGTTTTGTGGGGCTAAAGCGAAACGGTCAGCTGGAACGTCATGTAATCATGAACCGACCAACAACGCACAAGGGTCGTCGCCATTCGATTCATGTGTCAAATGGAGCAAATGTACCCCAAGCGGAAAGTGAAGTTGAACAACGGCCACGAGCAAAGCGAGATCGAAGTTTCAGCGTTAATGTTCCACGTGATCTGGCGCTACTTGATCAGAATTTGAATGAAATAATCGAGGATGAAATCACACAAAGTGCACCGATCGATGAAGTAGACGAAGGTCAAGTGGATGAGGTGCAAGTGGGAGAAAATGAAGTGGACGAAGTTCATGAATCGGAAGAAAACCACGAGCTGGCAAAATCACCCAGTCCCGAACAAGCATTGCCCATCGATGATAGTGGCTTTGAAAGTGGTATTTATGAATTTTGCTTGAATTCTATTTAAACAATCGCTTGATCTACGCTGAGTGGACATATTCATTATTTGTTTCACATATTTTACTCTTTTTCAGAGGAGAGCATTCCAGAATTTCAAGCGACCGGTCAACTACAGTATGACGACGACAGTTTCTTTGGTGAAGGCTTCCCTCAAGCGGATGGCATTGATCTATCGATTCCAGCCCCTGAAGCATTTTTTGTCCGAGAGCAACAAAAGACTGCTGATGCAATCGATATTGACACCTCGCGTGAAACATCCAGTCCACGTGCAGGTGAAAATGCAATGGCATCGGACGAACTTGGTAATTGGACGGTTTTTTCAATTGTTTTTGGCATTTATGACCTATGGCAGTGTTTTTTCATATTGTCATCATTGGTTTTTTCAACATAATCAACTTCTTTCTAATCGTCGTTTATTTTGAACAGAGGAAAATGGCGACAATTCTGATTGTGTTGACCCCCATAGCATGCATCCAGTCATTGAAAGCGGTATGTAAATACGTCTCACTTCGAATTGCACAGAAGGAAACTCAATAATCATATCTCATTTCGAATTGTCATCAAAAACTTGCCGCAACATTTTATCTCATTCATAAACTTTCAGACCCGTTGGATTTGAGCACAAGTGAAGCAAACGATTCGAGCCACATGAAGGTGTTGTCACCCGATTCCACTACCGTTCCAGAAATTGGTATTAAAATGCAAAAAATTTGATCTATCAATTGAATCACTTTGAATGACTTTTTTTGTTTCATTCAGAAGTCGACCCGAATGTGATTGATCTAACACAGGAAGACTTGAACTCAAGCGAAAATGAATCAACAGAAGAACTGTCCACAAGTGACAATGAAACATCGAACGGAGGAAAAAGCCGTCCACTTGACTTGTCATTGCCAAATAATGATTCACTTGTTGTGTCTGAGCCAATGGAAACAGGTATTGCATTGCATTTCATTTTGTCCATTTTTGGACGGCCAATTTGTTCATACAAAATTGTGAATTGATTTCTGTTTAGATCACTCTGAGCCAATGGAAAAAGAAGACGATGACACACATCAAGTTACGTCTTCTGAATCACACTCTCATCAAGTCGAAGAAGAAATCGTTCGTGATTCAGACGAGGTGAGCTCAGATTCAGCCGAAGTTTTGAGTGGCGTGAATGACTCATCGATGAATTCGACGGCCAATCCAGAATTTGGTAATAAAAACAATTTTACACCATAGGAAATTCAGTTTGATCGTGTTTAAAATATAAATGAATGGAAAATGTTTCAATCTCATTGAACAAATTGATCACATTTTTGCCTTCATTCAGATGCCACAGAAGCTGCACCGAATGACATTGCCCAAATGACGGAAGGAATGGCTTCAAGTGACAACGAAACAGTGATGAATGAAGTCACCGATGTTCCAGTGGCGGTGCCAAAGGAGGCGGCCCCACTTGAATCGACCATGCAAATGGAAATCGGTACACTACAGACATTTCTTTCGACCTTTTTTTACATGGACGATTTGAATTGTGAAACGATGACTAACGTTTCGAATTGCTTTCAATTTAGATCACTCTGATGGTTTGCAAACTGATGACGAAGACACTCACCAAAGTCAAATCGAGCATGTGTCTACCGCCGGTCAGCAACGAATTGACGAAGAAACGGTTCATGAGCCAGCTGACTCATTGGAGGTGAACGCAGATGCAACCATCGATTTGAGCGACGTGGAAGTTTTGCCGGCAAGTCAAACGGCAAATCTAGAACGTGGTAATAAAAACGATTTTATCATGAAAATGGCAACCATGAAACCAAATGGTACAATCAGTCAATCATTTTGATTATGTTTCTTTGTCCTAGAAGTCACAGACACCGCCACGGAAACAACTCCAACTGTCATTGAAACATCGGGCGAAGCTGCTCGCGAGTTTGCGGTAACAGTGTCAAAGGAAGCGGTTCCAGATGAATCAATGGAAATCGGTATTACATCGAAGCTTTTTTAGCCCATTCTCTACACATTGATAAATGTTCTGAATTGCTTTCAATTTAGATCACTCTGATGGTATGCAAACTGATGACGAAGGCACTCATCAAAGTCAAATCGAGCCTGTGCCCACTGATGGCCAGCAACGAGTTAAAGAGGAAACGGTTCATGAGTTAACCGAGTCATTGGAGGCGAACACAGATGCAACCATCGATTCGAGCGATGTGGAAGTTTTGCCGGCAAGTCAAACGGCAAATCTAAAACTTGGTAATGAAAACCTTTTCAGCATGAAAATGGCAACCTTCATGGAATAATTACCACCAAATGGAACAATCAGTCAATCATTTTAATAAAATCTTGTGTGTTTCTTTGTCCTAGAAGTCACAGACACCGCCACAGAAACGATTAGTCCAATGGAAGAAATGACTTCCGATTCCAATGAAACATCAGGCGAATCTGCCGAGCTGTCAAAGGAAGCGGTTCCAGATGAATCAATGGTGCCAATGGAAATCGGTAAAAAGAAGCATTTGTGGCCCATTTTCTACACATTGGTAAATATTTCGAATTGTTTTCGCATTTAGATCGCTCCGAGGCCATGCATCATGATGGCGATGATACGCAACATGACGAAGAAGATCCGAAACAATTTCAAGGAGAAACGCAACATCGTCAAGGGGAGATGCACCACAATCAAGTTGATTCTATCAAAGATTCGCAAGCAGAGGAAGATGCTCCGAATTCGCAGACGAAGATAGTTGTCATCGATGTTGCAGCATCAATCGTCACACACTTGGCTAAACCAGCCGATACATTGATGTCGCAAATCAAGGAAGAGAATCAAACCGGCAACGAGAACAACGGTTCTGAGCATGACGAATCGGCAGTGCATTAAGAGCAACAATTCGCTAAACGTTTTCGCATTTTTTGATCCGCAGTAATTTTTCAATTTTCATTCTGCATTTTATTAAGTCGTTAAGTCCATTTTTCATTCCAATCATGCATTTTTACTTATGTCATTCAAATTTGATGGGACAACAGTAGCACAATTTCATCGCACCAAAATGTTTAGTTGAAAGAGAGACATTTTTTTTTGATTGTGAACCACGAAGTTGATTCGTGATATTCGTGAGGGATAAGTTTACATTTGATTTGAGATTTTGTTCATGTAAATTTGCTTCTTTGAACTATTGAATTTTTAAATTGAAATTCACATTTGTCTCATCGAAACATGAGTGTCAATCATCATTAGCAATGCGGTAAAAACAACAATTTTCATTTTCATCAAAATTCGAATGAACTTACTTCACTTCGTTATCTTATGCACATTCGTGACTGTGTTTATGTATGACCTATGGCGAAATAAAGAAAAGTGAGCAACTTTATTTTGTTATGAATCAATTTAGTCTTGTACTGTGGCTTAACGAGCTTTGCCATGACAAAGCAATTGGATTCTTTGGATTTGGAATCACAAGGCGATTGGTTTGAAACGAAAAATGTCAAATCGTTTGTCAAATTCTTCTGTTGATGGAAAAGGGAGCTTTCAATATCGATTCAGCATGAATATTGGACACAGATCATCACAAATATTCAGCTTGGGATACCGTTTGCATTGCAAAATTTGTAAAAAATAGAATTTTTTCAGCCTTTGTTGCGATAAATAGTGCATTAGCAGTTGAATCAGGCTGATTTTGAACAATTCCACCTAAAATAATTGCATAATTCATTTTGTCCTACATACCAAAAGCGATACGCAATCAAATATTCCAATTGTCAGTGCACTTTCAAACAAAATATGCGTTATATTAGCGACTTTTAAGCGAAAAAATGCCCAATTTGTTGATAGTTTCATGCAAAAATTGTTTGTACATTAATTTCTATAGCCTAAAATTCAACTGCAGTGCCAATGCACGAAATTCCATATGAAAAAAAATAACTCATTGCGTCTAAGGCACATTTTTCGATATCAGCAAAAATTGAACTGAATTCGCGCTGCGTTGCAATTGCGTCAGTGGTCAGTCCGAAAAATTGGTTTTCATTTTGTTCAAATCCATTTTTTATTTCAGCTGACACATGCATAATTGACATGAAAATGGAGCTCAATTGGCGATTCACATTCGATTCGTATCGCATTCGTCATTTGCTCAGCAACGAAACAACTTTTCCTTTGCCGTTTGCTGTAACCTGTGGAATTTTGTTTTAAACGCCAATCTATCGATATGGCTCGCACAAGCGATCAGTCTAATGGTTTGTGATTTTGTGAATTTTCCTTTCTTTTGGTTTTTGTGTTCGAAATAATTGTGGAATTCAACGGCTAAGACATTTAGAAATGCAGCGAAAATTTAAAAATATTTGGATTTGTGTAGAAAATTAGTGCAATTCGTCAACGATTTGTGATTTATTTTTAAGAATCTTTCAGAAAAAATAGCGGAAATTGAAAATCAAAGTTCTTCGAAATCAAAGAAATATCGGAAATTTATGCCGAAAAAATATGTTTTTCGATAGAAAATCAGTTTCATTCCTATGATTTGTGATAAATTCTTCAGTTTGTTTTGATGTTTTTGAAAAATAGTGGAATTCGAATCGTTCAAAACCTTCAAAATCAGTGAAATATCGAAAATTCACAAAGAAAAAATTATTTCTCCAAAAAAAAGTTAGCTTCATTCTTATGACTTGTGATAAATTCTTTCAATATATTTGGACTATATAACGAAAACGGAGTGAAATTAAATCGTTCAATTCCGTGAAAAGACGTGAAAATATCAGCAGAAAAAATTCGACCATTTGTGACTTGATTTTTAAGTTTATTCTGATTTTAGTGAAAATTAAACCATGAAAATCACCAAAATATCGAAAGTTGATTGAAAAAATATTTTTTATGGAAAATCTGTTCAATTTCGACGTTTTGTGATTAGTTTTTTTTTTTGTTTTTTTTTTTCTTCGAAAAATAGTGACTTGAAATCGGTGAAATATCGAAAATTTATAATTTTTTTTAATAAGTTCAATTTCGAAAGTTCTGAAGTTTAAAAAAAATATCCGCTGTTTCTGAACGATAGTGAAACTAAATGAAAATCTCCAAAAAAAGCAGTGGAATCTCGAATATTTTTCCAAACAAATTTCTCTTGAATAATCTGCGATGAAATTTTTTTTTGCTTAAACCCACAAAAGTGTTTTGAATTGATTGTGTTTTTTTTTCGAAAGAAACAAAATCAATTTAGTGATTGTTTCAATTCAATTAGCCGTTGAAAGTGGTTTATTTTTTGTATTTGGTTAACCGAATGATTTTTTAACAGAGTTTTTTTTTCTATTTATTCTATAGATACGCAGCAGTTGCTGATTTGCAACATTCGTTCGGCGGGAACCAAGCGTATATTTGCTATCATCGGTGTGATTAGTGTACTATTGGTGTTTGTGCTATTTTCATTGTTGAGCAATAGTGCTCATAAAAGTGAAGAAAATAATATCGACCGACATAAAAGATCTACGATTCCGGACGTCGTAACAATTCGAGGGTATCAAAATGATGGTGGACACAAAAACATGAGAAAATACCAAGAAAAAGTCGTCGATAATCAAGTGTTGCGCCGAAAAAAGCGTCAGTCTGTTTTAGATCCGGTCGATTCACAGTACATTCGAGATGAAAACGTACGAAAAAAACGTGAACATTTACAACAGGTGCAAGCCCAGTTTGAAGAGTGCCGCCATTCTCAAGCGGATAAAAGTAAATGTGATCAATTTTATCGTGAGATGTTATCCCTTCGGCAAGCACTAAACTTCGAAATCGGAACACTCCGCCAAGGGACGAAAAATGTACAAAACCCAACATTGAACAGTGAACAAGCTGAAATGGCCCTAAGCAATCATAAAATGTCGGAATTGCATGGTTCAGTAAGAAAACCGAACCCCATTGTTGCTTTTTCACTATTTCTCATTAATCTTGATTCCTTTCTTTTGTGATTTTCTTTTCCTACAGGTAAGAAAACCATCCAGTGAAATAAATCGCGAAGGCCAAAAAGTGAACGAATTTACACCATTCCCACGATTCCATGAGGAAATGGATAGTTCACAAAACAATCTATGGACCATTGACGAACCGGCAAATGTAGCACCAGAAATTCCAATGCTTAGACCACCTCCGTCAACACCGCGAAAACAATCATCCAGTTTTCGGGAAAATGAAAAAATATCGCCACTGAAAACACAAAGTTTTGGTAAGTCATTCAAAGGATGTTTCCATTTTTTGGGTTTATGAATGGATTTTTCTTGAAAATACAAAACTTTGGAAGAAAAAAACATTTTCGGACAAAAACTGAATTCATGTTAGTCGTGTTAGAAAAACCGAGTTCATTGAGTATATTCCAATTTGAAATGATGTGAAAAACTTCAAAATTCAAACATTTTTTCCCTTTTTTTCTTTCTCACAGATCCAAGTGGTCAAATTCTGCAATTGTGTGACCAAATCAGTCGTCAAAGTCCACATTCGGATCAACCGGCCATCAACACTCTTCCGGGCCCAACATCTAGCGGATTTGTCACGAATAACGCTCAGGCACAGCCACACAATTTCAATCAGAATTTTCAGCCAAATCAACAAGTGACGCAACAATTTGGCAGTATGTTAACCTCTCCGTCCGATTTACTTTTAGTTTGACTTTTTTCCTAAACATATGAGTTGATATGACAGTTTTTATTTTGTCTTTTGCAAAAAGCTTCAATTTTTTGCTACGGCATAGAAAGGAGTTCATTGCTTAACTTGTTTGTTTTTATTTTTTTTTTTAATTCTCCATTTGTTTTTGCTTATGCAGTGCCACAAGTGTATGCGTATCGCCCAAATCCCGTGTGCATAATTCCCCAGCAAATGCAACCCGTAGCCGTCGGCCAAAATGTATTCGTTCCACAACAACAGTTCGTTGGCCCTGTCGCTAATAGCGGAGCTGCAAATCGTAAATTGTTAACCTTTTTAAACCATTTTTTTTTATAAAACAAACATTTTCATTACAAATTTTTTTAAACAAAAGCATCGAATAAAAAATGAGCATTGGGCATTCGTTGTATTCATAATAATGAATTTCTGTAACAAAAAATCATTTTCAAACACATTTTTATATAAGAATCCGCAATAAGAATCCATTTAAAAAATGATTCAATGATTGCAATTTGTTCAATTGACTGATCATTATCATATTGATAAAAGATTGCAAATTGAAAGCCATCCTAAATTGAGTAGTTTTTTGTTACTTGTGACAAGTAACTTGTCTCAATTAATTTTGAATTGTTTTTTTTTCTTCAGGTTTCGTTCTCGTGAATTCAAATGCCCAGCAATTTGCCAGCACATCTCCGAGTGGCCAAGGGTTAGTATTAAAAAAGTAATCGTTCGAAATGGTATTTTTTTTGTCTAACTCTGAGTAAATCCAATTGTCAGATTTGTCCAAGTAGCGGCACAACCGATGGCCCGTTCCGAAGACTCATCGTCAAATGAATCTTCTTGTTCTGCTCAACAATCGAAGAATTCGGCAAAAGTTACACCAGAATCGAAGCGGGCTGAACAAGGTATACTTTCATTCTTCATTTACGTATACGCATCGCAGAGTCAATTTTTCTCATTCCAATGTCAGATTTTATGCATTAACAAAAAAATTCATTCATCAACTCACAAAGAATAATATGTCCCACTCGTTTAATTCTACTTGTTGATAGGACCGGACCCATTTTTTGATTCATTCGCCAGTCGTTTAACTTCGGTCAATGTGACAAATCCATTCAATACATGCGAAGAAGGACAGATCTCTTGTGTTAACGCCAATCAATGTATCCCTAGCGAAAAATGGTGCGATAACGTCATCGATTGTATAGTAAGGCCACATTTCTTTATGTTTTTTTCAATTTGGCTCATTATTATACGCCTCAATCAATTCATCTTTCACATTTGTAGGATTCTAGTGATGAAACGACATGTACTTGCGCATCTCGTTTAAATGACGACAAACTTTGTGATGGCTACCTTGATTGTCCGCTAGGAAGCGACGAGATCGGTTGCTTCGGCTGTGATAAACGGTCGTACTCGTGCTACAACAACGCAGACGAGTATCAGCAGTCGAAATTTGCATCGAATAACATGTGCTTCACGCTGGCACAAAAGTGTGATGGTTTCCACGATTGTTTAAATGGAAAAGATGAAGAGGATTGCTCAATGCTGGTTAAATTCGTTGGATTACACACGGTAAAATGGGAATTTTGGTTTTTTTCTTCTTCAAGTTAATTTGATCCACATTTTCACTGAAGATCAAAATTGAAAAACGAAATTGATAAAATTCATTCATTTCTTATTTTTCCACATTTTATTGAACATTTTTGCATTGATTTGTTTTCCGTTTCAATTCATCGATCGTGTCAAAGTTCATTGTTTTTTCATGCTCTTTCAAAGACATTCATGGTGCCGTACACCGAAGGTATTTTGTATCGTAACTTCCGCGGCCGATGGTATCCAGTGTGCGAGGATCCAGTCGACTGGGCAAAGGATGCGTGTGAATCGGAAATGGGTGATCTTTTAGAGTAGGCATTCCATTTTCACTTCAAATCTTACTTTCAACCTATTTTTTTCATATTTTTTTAGGTGTCTTGAATCACATGTTTCATTTTTTCCAATTTTTTTTTCGTTCATTCTTTTTTTTTCATTTCCACCAGAGCACCTCAGATTCAAAATCGAATGTCGAAGTTACCGGGCCCATTCATCTCAAGGATTTCCCGTGACGAAGGTCAGCCTCTCGCAGCCCAAGTTCGAATAACTAATACGTGCCCAATGAATCAAGCCGGCAGACATAACTTTCACATTCGTGTTAAGTGTCCGCCGATGAAATGTGGTACAGTGAAGCGGAATCTATTCAATCCACCTCAGCTACGAATCCGAGACGAAAAAGAGCGTAAGAAACGTGAAGAATACTTGAGAATCGTTGGTGGAGATCGATCTGGGCCACACAGTTGGCCTTACATAGTGGCATTGTACAAGGACGGTCGCTTCCATTGTGGCGCCACGATTTTCAACGAATTTTGGGTGAGTTTTCTTTTTAAATCGATTTTTGCTCTCAGCTTATGAACAGCTTTTGTGTGTCGTTTCTATTGAACCAAAATGAGCAACGACTTAAAAAAATTTCTCTTTGTCAATCGATAGGTGATCTCAGCAGCGCATTGTGCATCAAAGGGCAGTAATCACTACTATGAAGTACATGCCGGCTTACTTCGTCGTTTCAGCTACGCACCAGAAGTTCAAATTGCCAAAGTCGTGGCAGTCATAGTCAACGATGGATTTGATCGACGCGGTAAGAGCTCACATCTCGTTTTTTTTTCGGGACTTTTTTCAATTTTTGTTGCATCTTTCGTATTGTTCTGTATTTTACTTTTTTTTTCAAATAAATTTTATTCAACCATTTTCTTTGTTCAAACTTTTATTTTCAATTTTTGTTTCAACATTTTTGTTGATATTGATCAACAGAAGTATTGACTTCTGAAAAAATGAGTAATCGTCTTAGATATGCCAACATCACAAATAAATTTAATTATTTCATGTTTTTGTCACTTTCCGCCCTTCAGAAATGATGAACGATGTATCACTGTTTCAATTGGAGAAACCGTTGTTATTCAACCGATGGGTTCGACCCATTTGTCTACCATCGCCAGAACGAGTTACGTCACGATTTGATCCAAATTGGATGGAAGGTCCACCAGCTGGAACGATTTGTACTGTTGTATGTATCAAGTTGATACTACTAACTTCATGAAACTCTTCATGTTCCGATTGCAAAATAATTTCAAATAAAAATCTTCAATTCAACAGGTTGGTTGGGGAGCATTGGCTGAAAAAGGATCGAGTCGTGAGTTGATGTTTTTTTTAATGCTGAAATCCAATCGCATGTGATATTGCAATTTTAGAGAATTAAAAGAAATTTATTGATTTTTCTGTTTTTGTTTGAGCAGCGGATAATTTGGAAGAGGTAAACGTTCCGATCATGAAGAACTGCAAATCGTCGGTTGATATTGATGGCAATGAGATTTGTGCAGGAGAAAAAGACGGTGGTCGCGACGCTTGTCAAGGTATGCATTCAGGCTTTAGTTTTGTTGCACTTTTTTCGAAATTAGAGTCTTTTTTCCTTCTATTAGCATCCAAATTTCCATATTGGTATAAATAAAAATCTCTGTTCATTCCATTTTGCAGGCGACTCTGGTGGTCCATTGATTTGTCGTAGCAAATCGAATCCGGAGGAGTTTTACTTGGCTGGAATTGTGAGCCATGGTGAAGGGTGTGCGCGACGTGGTGAACCAGGCGTTTATACTCGTGTTGCATTATTCGTGGAATGGATCGAGGATATGATCAATTCGGATTTGTCACGGACAGCGGTAGCAACAAAAACGGTGTGTCCCGGTTTCACGTGCACGTGGAGTAGTCGTTGTATTTCTAAGCGTTATCATTGCAACGGTCAAGTGGATTGTCTCGGAGGGGAGGATGAGCTGAATTGTGCATTTAATCCAATGACTGCGGCACGAAAACGCATCGGTAGACAAAATGCGGAACCAAAACTGTCTGATGGAAAGCGCGTTAGCAGGCAAAGTGGTGAACAAAAACTGCCTGGTGGTAATTTGGATATTCCAAAAGAACAACCTGAGCCACATACTACCGAACCTATGCCGTTTCAAACAACTGAAACACACGTAGAAACGATGACGACGACAACAACACAATTGCCCCTCACACTACGGCCCATTCTAACAACACCCGAACCTGATGAGCCCGCAATCCCAGAGACTACTGTGGCACCTGAAACAACCACCATTCAACACATCGAAACTGGTCCAATTGTAGTTCCGATCGAAACAACAACAACGACCACAACCATCACTGAAGTGCCGCCCGTGATAGTTATCACCACAGATATAGCCACAACTACTTCTGAAACCACAAATGATGGCATAAACATCAATGAAAAGCAAATTTTTGTTTGCACAGAGTAAGGATATTTTATGAGTTTCTCTTTTTTTGTGGGAAATTTCAAAATTTCATTGATTTTTTGTTTCAACTTTTTTTTTGCAGCATCAAACAAAATATTGATATCAAATTGAGATGTAATATGCAAGTCGATTGTGAAGACGGCACCGATGAAAAAGATTGCCCATGTGTGGATACGTTAAAGGTATAAACATTTTCACTTGTCTTGTTCAATGTTTTTTTTTCTTCTTTCATCGATTCCATTCGCTCCAACTAAATACTTTTACACGCAGGCAAACGAAATGTTCGATTTAATTTGCAATGGGGAAGCAGATTGCATGGATTTGTCCGATGAACAAGATTGTAGTAAGTTTTCCTATGTTTTATTTCTCTTTTTTCTTTTTTTATGGAAAACTTTAATTTTCAATTGGAAATTCCGATATCGTGGGTAAATTTCACACCATTTTGACTTGGTATTCAAAATCTCGAAACGAGTTAAAAACAATAGCTCTACATTTCATGCAAAAAAGTGACGGGTTTTGTTGTTGAATTAATCATATTTTGAATTCCAGACAACTGCAAACCAGACGAATATGTGTGTCGCAAATCGAATCAATGTATCGCAAAGGAGTCAAAGTGTGATGGAATAGTTGATTGCACTGAGCGAGAAGATGAAGATGACTGCGGTGAGTTAATTTGGCTGTTCAAAAAAGACCAAAAATGATTTTGAACAAAAATCAATATGAAAATTCGAAGAAACAAAAATGAATTCCATTTTCGATGAAATTGATTTGTTTCCAAAAATTCCAAAGACCTGTAATTAATTTCCCTTTTCGTTCATTTCAGTGGCCCTCACCGATGGCAAAACCATTTTGATGGATGCCGATTTGCGGCCATCATTAAATTACAAAGGGATTTTATGCGAAAATGTACGGGGCGCTTGGTCAGTAAAGTGTGTGAATCGTGCACAAGTGCGTAAAAACACTGAATTGGCTGGACAAACGTGCACTCTACTCGGTTTCAGTGGCTACAGTTCACATAATGTGTTGATGGTCGATGAAATTGGTGCGCCCAAAAGGAAACCAAGTGAACGAGTAGATTTCCGACAGTTTGGTCTACATTCGTGGGACAGAATGATCCCAAATCGTCATATATTCAAGAGAAGTGTGGACGAACATCGAGTGTCAGATCCATCTACTGTTCTGCTTGGCGCACCTCAAAGAGGATGCTTTGGGTTATACGTTGAATGTGTTCCCCATACGATAATTCCAATTGATCCCGTTTTCCCACCTGAAGCAACAACTATAAAACCAATTGAAATAACCACCACTCCAAAACCAATCCAAACGACAACCACTCCTAAATCGATTCAAACAACGACCACTCCAAAAACAATTGAAGCAACTACGGTAGTGGTAGAAACAACAACGAAAATATCAAAACCAGTACCACCCACACCGTCCGTAAAACCAATCGAACCAATACATCAAACTGACGACAAGCCAACCATTGTTGTTCCATTTGTACCACCAAATGACACCAACGTTGAAATCATAACGGACAACTTTGCCGCTCCATGGGCAGCAAGTGTATACGTTGATGGTGATCTGGCATGTATCGGAGTATTGCTTGGTCAATGGTGGGTCTTAGCTGAACGGAGTTGCGTCGAGGATGTGAAGTAAGCGTGCACACTTGTTTCACATGTTGTCTTCTTGACTGACAATCCAATTTTTTTGCTCAATTTCAATAGCATGGACGAACAGGTAATTCAGGTCATTCTCGGACACTCGAAAAACCCAACGAAAATTCAAACACCATCCGAACAAAACATCCGAGTTGATTGCCTGAAACATTTTCATACACTAAAAACGGGCTCGGGCTTACATTTGGAAAGAAGCGTACAGTTTAGCCGATACATTTTGCCCACCTACGTGCCATTACAGTGAGAAATGAATTAAATTTAAATGCAATATCATGTGACAAAGTTTGTCTCATTTCGTGAAATTTGACATTCATTGAAAAATAAAACTACATTTATTGAACACATTTGGCAATTCGTTGAAAAAATGCAATTGATTCATTCGTTTCAGTATTGACGAAGACGATACTGACTGTGTTGCCGTTTCACATGGACCAACTGAAGGATTTGTGAGCATTCCAGTTGTGAGAAATGACACTGACTGCCCAAATGATAAGAAGAATTGCTATCAAGCTGCCGAACCTATGGAAAATATCAAGTGTGATGGTTTTGGTATGTATTATGAAGCACTTCCAAGTGTGTTGACCTTTCGTTTGATCAAATTGTTTAAAATTGTTTCGTTTTTTCATCAATTGTGTTCCTTTTGCTACCTCTTTAGATGGATCTAGATACGGTGTCATTGTCTGTCGTTCAGATAATAACACATATTATCCAATTGGATTGATTGCCAATGAAAATGGCTTGTGTTCACTTGAAGAAATTGTTGAGCTTGAATTGCTGGAACCAAGCTACAATAACTTACAACTGTTTTTGAGTAAGTTCGAAATTGTCATTATGTTCAATTTGAATCATTCAGGTTTAAAATCAGGCATGAGTTTCAATGAAAGTATTCGAACAAATTTGAATCTTTGAAGAACCTTGAGTTTACCTGAAGTTTTTGATAACGGATTTGTAAGATTTGAATTGCATTAAATTAATTGCTCTATTCCAATTTTCAGCTTGGCACGATTGTAGACACAAAAAGGAGAATCCAAAATGCTCTGGACATCGATGCCCTCTTGGTGAATGCATCGAAGAAGATCGAGTGTGCGACAAGAAAGCTGATTGCCGTGACGGAAGCGATGAAACAATTGAGTTATGCAAGGCCAAGAATAAATGTTTGCCGCATGAGCTTCAGTGTGGAGACGGTAGCTGTGTGCTCAAAACGAAATTCTGCGATAAAGGTAGCTAGAAAAAATTGCAATTGATTAATCAAAAATTTAGTTATGGATAGCGTATGATGTGCATTTTTAATTGAATTTTTGAAAATAGTTGCCGACTGCGAAGATAAAAGTGATGAACCGGAAGGATGTACCTGTTTCCAGTATTTGAAGTAAGTTTTTTTTATCGCTGAATTCGTGCTTTCTTTCTCCCTTTGATAACGAATTTAGGTTTTCTCTGATTTCAAAAAATTGTTGATCTAATGGCCATTGGTTTTACCCTCGCATTTCAGATTGACCGATCAAACAAAGATTTGTGACGGTATTCCGAATTGCCATGACAAATCAGATGAAACTAATGAGTGCCCGTGCCGAAAGCAGAGTTTCAGATGCACCGAGTAAGTAATTTATCGGAATAAGTTTTTTTTATGGATATTCAAAGAAAAATTTATTGCTTCGCTGCAAAAATTTCGATCAATTGGGACGTTTCAAACCATTTATTCATGAATAGTTTAGAAAAACTTTGTCGACCATAGTAAAATCAGAATCAATTTTTAAAAAAATCTGAATTTTCCAAAACAGGTCAGATGTTTGTATCCCGCCACAGTTTGTGTGTGATGGTCAGTCCGATTGTCCACATGGTGATGACGAGAAACTCTGCTATGGAGCTGAGGAGGACAAAGAATACAGGTTAAAATTGATTTGATACCAATGTTTATCATTTTGTTCATGTTGTCTATCACACCGCGGTTCTTTTGTTCATGAATAATGGGCTATTTTTTCTCTCTCTTTCATGTCAACTGATTATTTCTATCAACAAAGCATTTTACGGCGTTTCTAACATCGCAAGTTTTGTCTCTTTATAATTTCAGTGGTTTCTACCGCGTGATTGAGCGCTCAGCTGGAGAGTGGCAAACCAAATGCCTGAAGAAAACGCTAATTCCAACTCAAGCCGAGCTGAAAAATCTATGCACTCATTTGGGATATGTGAACGCAACGAATATATCATATGAACTGCTGGACCCCGAACAAGTGATGGTTTCAAAATATCAACCGCCCGTCAAAGTGATTTCGACCAAAGCGTCCTCAACAGTGCAACTGAACGATCACTTTAAATTGAATGTCATTCAACCCAGTCAAAAAATGGCCTCATATCTACCTTGGAACGCTACTGATAACGCCAATTGCAATCAATTGTTAATTAACTGCGGCGAATAGATTTTTATTTCGATGACATACGGTTTTTTTTAAATTTTTATATAAAAATGCCAAAAAAAAACTTCAAATTTGTTTTTAATAAAAATAATTTTTGTGATAACGAAAATCATTGGAATTAAATATGTAGCCAAATCAAAGAAAAGTCATTGTTTTTATTGTAAACTGAAAGAAATTGAATCATTTTATTATTTAAAATTGAAAAAAAAAATCCAAAAAGTATGCATTGAGTACACCATCCAGTGAATGTATTCAATTGTCTTCCTTTCCGTCGTGTTTCTTATTTCCAAATTCCAGTTGTGATTGCAAACACTGACCTGCACGGCATTCTTGACATTTCTGTTTTGTAAACAAAGAACTGTTGTCGTAGCGGTTCGTTATCACACAAACGTTTTGCACAATCTTGAGTCAGTCAAGTTTTGAGTGTATTTCAGTCTGCATATTGATACACCTGCGCCAGAAATCTTTGATTTTTTGAATTGGTTGAAGGGAGTGGTTCTTTATATAAAAGGAAAATTTTTGGGAATAAATGAAGAAATCGATTTGAATTAATATCAAAATAATAATAACATCTCTTGTCATCCAAAGTAAGTATGAATTGACTCAATAGAAAAATTTAGAAAAAAAACATAAAAATAAAATCGAATAAAATAATTGAAGAAAGCAGACGGACACAACAAAATTCCATTAAAACGTAAAATTCATGGCGTTTAACTTAGCATTGATTTACACACTCACGAAAAAAATAGAGAGAGAGAGAGAGAGAGAGAGAGAGATAGAGAGAGAGTGAGAGAGAGTGTGTATGTATAAATATATAGCGCATAGTATAGAATTAAACAAATTCTCGATTAAATGTATATTCTTCACCGCATTTATATGCAGAGCTGCGTGTTGTCTGCGCGGCTCCGAAGCAAAACAAAACAACAACCGATAACCAATACAAATGTTCGAGATACACACACACGCAACCGGTTCAACGAAGAGTAGATTAATACAAGTCATCGCTCACTGACACTGAGGCATTTCGAGAGCTGATTACAATTTTTTTCGCACAATTTACGAGCAAAGTAAATAACAATGCGCAAAATAAACTCGATATAATTATATCATATCAAAATAAATATCGGTTCGTGTTTGGCTTACGATTGTTGAACGCTCGACTCATTTTGTTGGTGTGTCTGCAATAGTGTAAACAAAGTGAGTAGGTGTGTGCAGTAGTTAAATCGGTTACCTGAACGTGTTTACTTCTTTTCTTTTTGCAGCACAAAAGTTAGTGTTTTACGTGATAATTTGTATTTTTAACGTAAGCCACAGACTTGCTGATTTTTTAAATTTTCTTTTAATTTTTCTGTCTTTTCTTCATTGACATCCCGTTCTAACGTTTTACTTTTTATTATCACCAATTAAGATTTCATGAGTCTTCTTTGGTTTATTTTTCAGCTATCAGCACTTAAATATCAATTAAACGTGTCCACAAACCGAACTCCAACAGTATTACCAATAATCCAATGAAACTGAATGCTGAAAAATCATCAAAAATCAACTTCAGAGCGCTTTCACACTAAGAAAACCTCGTTATTTCCGGAAAAAATGACCGATACCATAGTCTACAAAAACGTATTGGCCTGGAGAGGTTGTGAGAGACTCTATATGGACACAAGAACTTGTGATGTTTTCTTTTTGTTTAAATCCGATAATGACGATTACGAGAAAGTGCCAGCACACAAGAGCATTCTTTCTTCGGTGAGTCCGGTTTTCGATGCAATGTTCTACGGTTCACATAAACAAAGCGGCGATATAAAAATTGTCGACTCAACACCGCACGCATTCAAAGAGTTTTTGCAGTTTTTCTACCTTGGCGCGGTGAAATTGACGGCCGAGAATGTGCCCGAGATAATGTACCTGAGCAAAGAGTACATGTTAAATGATTGCCTCAATGCATGCGCTGACTTCTGCAAAGCGACTTTAACATTGGACACAATCTGCTGGGGATATGAATTGGCGATTCTCTTCGAACAAGATGGGTTGAAACGGTATTGCGAGCGAAAAATCAGTGAAAACACCAAAGAAATATTCCAATCAAACAGTTTTTTGAGCTGTGAATCGAATTTACTGCGTCACATTTTACAGTTGAATTCGTTAAAATGTGACGAGTCAGTGGTGTTTGACGGTTGCATAGCATGGGCCAAAGCGGTTTGTGTACAAAAAGGCGTTGACGAAATGAGTATGCAGAATTTACGGGCTCAACTCGGCGAACTGTTTGATGAAATTCGCTTTGGTCGCATGAAATTGGAGCACTTTTATCCACGATACTTGTCCTATGCCGGCCTATTTTCAGCCGGAGAATTTCAAGAAATCATCAGCAAAATCGCATTCAAAGACTTCTGCCCAAGATCATTCAATCGGAATGCATTCGTTTCGGAGAATCATTTTGAAAATGAAGATGTATTGGTTTGCGATCGAAAGTGTTCGAAAGACTCATGCCAATCGGACGATCAATATAGATTTCAAACGAATGACATTTTTGACAATCTTTGCGTGGATAAAACGATTTTTCGAACAAATTGCTTGTTGATGTTGAAGAGATTTGTTTGCCGGGTTGAGTTTAGCCGTGACAATAAGACAGGCATCTATTCAACGGAAGCCAAAATTAGAATCAATGAAGCACCAAGTGACGATTACCCAGGGATATTGCTATCGTTCGTTGAAGTCTCATTGAATAATTCCGATGAAATTATCGTGGAACTTCCATCGCCAGTTGTGATTAGCGCTGGCGTTAAGTATGAAATCGAATTCGAAATGGAAACCGGCATCACTTACTCTAGTGAAAAGGCAACCAAACAAGTTCGGATGGAACAAGGCATTATCGCCGATTTTTTTGGAGTATGTCACAAAGGTCGAGAAGGAATTGTCAAATGTTTGCATTTTGCAAAGCAGAATGAATAGATTCGTTTTTTTTATTTTTTTTCGGTTTTTTCTGTAATTCTGGGAATTTTTGTGCCCTTTCTTTGCGACACTTACCAGAAATAAATCATTCCGATTTTTGTTTGAGAATTTTCTTCAACTCATATTTAGTAATGAATAAAAAATATTTTTGTAAGAATATTTAAGGAAATAAAATCAATTTGAAGGGGAACAAAATGAAATCGAAATAAAGCCTCAAGGAATATGAGAATTTTCTGCATGTGAATAAGTTGTTTAATACCTTTACATACTATAGTTCTTGTTTAGCATATTTTCCCATTAAAAATTTGTAATGACATAATAAGAAATGACTAAATTGAGTCTAAACTGAGTGACTTAGGCATGGTTCGACTTAAATCTAAATAGAAATTGCATTTTATTATGATTATTACTGAAATGGAAGAATTAAGATGAAACTTGCTTCGAAAAATGGAAAGTATTTGCTGTAAAGCCCATGATAGAGTCGATGTCTCACATAGTATGTTATCGAAGGGCTTATACGAATCTCACGATCCAATATGAAAAATGTAGGTATTATTACTTTGCGAAGCCAGTGTTTCTTCGAAAAAAATTCGACCGACTCGCGATGATACGTAGATTTGTTACGAATACGCTGTACTTTCTGTGGCAGAACTCGTGAGTTAATTTGTATAAATTTGTGCGAGTCAGTATTGACTTGCGTTGACAAATAAGCCCCTTGGTATTTGGCATAGTATATGGCATATTATGTCATTGATACAATCAATAATCGAATTTTTATGGCAATCAATATCATTATCATAAAAAACAAACAAGTTTATTCAAGTAAACCTCTCAGAAACAAGACGAAATTCTGAACTGCTCAAAACTCCGCATTCTTTACTTAATTCACTGCGAAGAAAAAATTGTTCAAATAAGAAAGATAAAAAAGAAGAAGAGAAAAATCATTGAATGAACGTACGTACGTGATGATGAATGAGCAGTTGAGCACCGAATCTGAAGAATGTCGTAATATTTATCAAATTGGAGTTGACCGCACTAATTTGAACGGCAATATCAAATTCAAGTTCAAAAGGTATGATTGAATAATCGCTTCAAATTGAGTCGATTGTACGGTTCGAAACCAGTTTGGGTTTTCCGATAGCCAAAACTGACCCATAAATGACGATATCGGAATGACTCATTTGCGTCAGTTGGATTGACTCATATTTTGTTGATCCGTAATGAAACTATGAGTTGTGTTCATTTATCGGTCTATCATTTGCTCATTCGGTTGTGAGTTTTTGTATGGAACACTGTGTTTCGAGCACATTTTATTGTTGACATCTGATATAAAAATCATTGAATTTGTTATTAAATCAAACAAAATCGTTGTTTGTGCATAAAAACAGAGAAAAAAAATCAAAATTTGTTTCCCCACTGGCAAAAATATAAAAATAATTAAAACTTATCGAGAAAAATTGCAATCGTTCAGCAATAAGTGGAATGAACTCACGTATATGAAATAAAAATAGCAACGGTTACGCTCTGTGAAGCATATTGAATCAACAGAATTGTGTAATTTTCATACGCTATTGAATTCGTGGCGAAGCAAAAAGTGTGCAAAGTATAAACTGTAAGAAGCGAGTTTGACTGTCGATCGATTCTTTCTTCTTCAGACACATTGAATTGGAGCAAAGCGTTGAAAGTACTAATCGGAGAAAATCAAGCAATAATACATAACCGAAGAAATTCGAAAAGAAGGCGATTTGAATAGAAAAGTTCTCTTCCCTCAAAGTGCACAATGGATGAAATCCAAAATTCGCTCGTGTATAAAAACGCGTTAGCTTGGCGAGGCGGTGAAAAACTGTATTTAGACCATCGAACGGCCGATGTGTTCTTCGTATTCCGGGCGGTACGTGTAAAAGTGCCTGCGCACAAGAGTGTTTTATCGGCAATGAGTTCAGTCTTCCAAACAATGTTTAACGGTACAATCGGCCAGAAAGGTGTTGTACAAATCGTCGGAACAACAGTTGAAGCGTTTAAAGAATTTTTACGATTTTTCTACCTCAGTAGCGTGGGGCTTACTTCAGAGAATGCATTGGAAGTGATGAGTCTGGGAAAAAAGTACGCGGTTGCCAGTTGTCCCGAGGCATGCATCGAGTTTTGCAAGTCAACACTTACATTGGACACCTTGTGCTGGGGCTATGAACTGGCGATTCTATTCGAATTGGATGATTTGAAGAGATTTTGCGAGCAAAAAATTAGCGAGAATCCAAAAAAAATCTTTCGTTCCGTTAGTTTTCTTCTCTGTGAACCGAATTTATTGAGTCATATTTTGCAATTGGATTCTCTGCATTGCGATGAGACAACTGTGTTTGATGGATGCATTGCATGGGCTAGAGAAGCGTGTATTCAACAAGAATTGGACGAAAACAACGGGAACAATCTACGCAATCAATTGGGTGGGTGACCTCTTTTTTGAGATTCCATTCGGGAAAATGGATCTTGAGCAGTTCTATGAGAGATATTGCTCGCACAAAGACCTCTTTTCAGTGGACGAATTTGAAGACATCCTTAGTATGATCGCATTGAAAGACTTTCAATCGGAGAAATTTAACAGAAATTCCAGAACTTCGAATGAATTTCAGAGAGAAATTATGTGCAATTGAGATCGATGTAAAAGTTGAGTAAACGTTTACTCGTGTACTAACTGTAACTTGTGGGCGTTAATCAATTACTATCTAAAATAGACTTCACATTTCGAACGAATTTGTAAATATCACGATTAACAGATGATTTGTATAAATTGATTGTATTAAAGTTATCGAAATTCGCAGTGCAAATTTCGCACTTATCAGTTTTCAACTGTGACTGAACAATTGATATTGAATGGCATTAAAATTGATATGAGCGATTCACTTGAACAATGAATATCCAACAATCAATTGAAAGCGTCATGAACTTATCATTTTTATTTTTATTAGAATTACATACATATGATTCCAAACTATTGTAGAAATTACCAAATAAATCAAGAAACAATCGAGAAACTAAGAAAGATGTATATTAAAACTTTTTATTTTCAATGAATTTGATCAATCATTAGAATTGTTAAGTAGATGAATAAACAATATCACTTCACCACACGCACATCTACTGTGAGTGAGAGAATAATTATCAATTCTGGGAAACGGTTAGATTACTTTATTGTTCACACATTTCAAATACTTTTGAAATGTATAACTTGTATTTAATGTTATTCTGTATAAGTAATATTGCATAATAATTCAAAGGAGAAACAGCCAAGCAGCGACATAATATAATCTCAGCTTGGTCAAAGGGCAAATAATTTGTTGATTAAAATATTTATTTTGAGATTTTTTCTTTCTATTTTTATGATTAAATTCGTCATATTTTACTGTAAGCGCACACCATGCACGATAAAGTGAAGCGTTTTTCATGCAAACTTGTATTTTACACACCACACTACAGAGATTCACAATCTCAAGTATATTATTCGAGATGGCAAGATCCATGGTAAATATTCATTTTATAGACTTTTAGTAGCAGTTTTCCTTTCTCTGACAATAAAAAGTTAAGTCATTAACCCATTTTGGCCCGCTGGTCGTTTTTCCGACCAGTGAAACGACCGTTGCTTCCCAGACTGATATCTCAGTTCCTAGGTGGTAAATTTGGTTACTTTTTTTTTTAAATTGAAGTTTGAAAGACGAACTATCCATTGGGAGTCAAAATAAAA